GGCTTTCTGTGTTTGGGTGGAAGCCAGCGGATACCTTCCCACCCCCTCACCCATTCACCTCCAGGCTCAGCCGGGGGCCGAAGGCCGTCCAGCCTCCTTCTGACCACAACTGATTCCGCAAAGGGACTTCGGGCCGACCTCCTTCCCCGCCTCTCTGGGGTGACTGGGCTCAGGCCTGAATTTTCTTTTTTTTTTTAAAAAATATATTTTATGGATTTTTACAGAGAGGAAGGGGAGAGGGATAGAGAGTTTAGAAAACATCGATGAGAGAGAAGCATCGATCAGCTGCCTCCTGCACACTCCCCTACTGGGGATGTGCCCGCAACCAAGGTAGATGCCCTTGATTGGAATCGAACCTGGGACCCTTCAGTCCGCAGGCCGACGCTCTATCCACTGAGCCAAACCGGTTAGGGCAGGCCTGAATTTTCTTATTAAAATCTATACACTCTAACATTATCTGTCAAGTTCCTACGGTGTTTTTAACATGCACTAAATGGAGAGGCTCGGGACTCTGGGTTGCAAGTGACAGACATCTAACTCGAGTTCATTAAAAAAGTGGGGAGAGATTGATTGGCTTAAGGGCTTGGGGTGCCACTAGCTCCCAGCATTGGCCGGAGGCTCTGGCCGCCTCTCTCTCTCCCCCCCTCATCTCTGTCTTCTGTTCCTGGCAGGCTTTCTCCACGTGGTGGGAGAGATGGTCCCTGACACCCCCCTAACTTCCCCCTGGTGCTGCTCATGGGGGTGGAGAGAGAGGGGCCTCCCCCAGCGCCCACAGCCCATTTCAGGGACATTTGACATGAGCTGTGGCCGTGTGGCTTCGCGGAGTCAGTTGTGGTCAGCAGGAGGCTGGAGGGCTCCGGCCGGCTGCACCCGGAGGGAGGGAGGGAGGGTGGATGGGGAGGGTATACAATGATTTCCACCCAAACCACAGGAAAGCCGGTTCGGTTTCCGATGGAGGGGTGCTTGTCAGGCCCCCAAACCAAACAGCTCTCTCCTCGCCCGTAGGCAGATGTTCGGGGGGTGCAGACCACAGAGGGGGCCAGGCCTCTGCTTGTCCCAGTCTTCCCCCGTGGGGCGGCCTGCAGGGCTGCACCCTTCCCCGAGGCCGAGCTGCCAGCGGTCACACGGGAGCGTGCACCTGGGCTCGGCTGACACCC